GCACAATCGCACTCGTTCACAACTAAATTTGCAAGAACATCATATCTGTGATTTATTATATTATACTCTCTTTCGAACATGCAGTAGTCTTCAATTAGTTCGTCAAAAGGCAAAATCTTATTCATCGTCTCAACTGACTTTATTAACAACTATGTCAACACCTCAATCAACATCAGAATTAGTTGAAGAACAAAAAACTTGTGATCTTATGCCTCAGTTGGAAATTAAATCAAATTTACAATTATTAAGAGAGCAAGAAAAGATGGCTTTACAATCTATTAATAAATTAACTGAAGAAGAAATGGTTTACATCGACCAATGGTTATCTGTTCTACATAAAACATACGAAGAATTGGAATATCTATCATAACATCATGTATTTCAAGCAACTACATATTCTAATGATGAACAATAATTATGGTATGAGCAGTCGAAAGCTGAAATTAATAATGGCTGGTCATGTTTTTGTGATCGATCAAAATGGCATATTCAGGATCGTCAGAAAGCTCAAATAAATTCTCCATCAATGAATCATCCATTATCTGATATTAATGAAATAAATTCGTTGGAGAATTTTATTGATACAAAATTTATTAAATATTCTGGTATAGGTAATGCTAACACTCGGTTACTACAAACAACGAATCAATTTAAGCATTATAGATTACGTCGTCTTGAACAAGTTCAAGCTAAACCATTTTTATTAATTGATGAAGCTTATTTGTGGTACGTTGAACATATTGATTTAATCATCAGTTTTGAATTATTTAGTAAATTATTTCTTCAACAATACTCATCTACATCATCAACAAAACAAAATAATACATCTGTAGAGATGGTTACTCCGTCAATTACTGCTCCAAGTTTTTTATCTATATCACATCTACAGCAAACGATCGCTGATGAAATTATTAAAAAACCAACATATTCATGATTGGTTAGACAAATTAGAACAACGTTTTAAAATGGCAAAATGGAATGATGAAAAAAAATTACAATATATTTCGGTACATCTACAAGATGATGCATCTCGATGGTAGACACAAGCATCCATATTGATTAAAACATGGTCATCATTTACTGAAGCTGTTATAAAAGCGTTTGGATCAACAAAAGTACAAGAATTAACATTCGAACAATTAAAATGGTACAAACAAACAGTTAATCAACCTGTTACGCAATATTATGATAAAATTATAGAACTGTGCAAAAAAGTTGATCCAGCTATGCTTGATTCATTGAAATTAAAATATATAATGGCTGGTATGAGAGAATCATTAAAATTACATGTTGCTTTACAGGATCCAAAGACAACTGATGTATTTTTATCGTTCGCCAGAAAAATTGAAGATATATTATCATTTACTACTACAGATAATGAAATGCAACAAAATGAAATTAACATCAATGCTACCACTACTCAAAAATCATTAGAACAAACAACTATTTCACAAAAATCACAAAAAAAAAATATTCAACAAAATATACCTCCATAAGAGCAATCGAAGTCACGTCCAAATTATCAACGTACTACGCAAACTTCGTATAAAAAGACTCAACATTATGAACCTTCAAGATATTTACAATATTCACAACGATCAAATTGTTGTTATAAATGTGGTACTTCTGATCATTATGCTCGGGATTGTATCCGTACCCATTTCAGGTAAAGGAGGCAACGATGGGCGGTGTTGCTTCCAATAGTTCACGTAGAGATCCATCGACTCTAAATACATCTTTACTATATCTTAATATTATTGTAAATAATAAAAAAATAAATGTAATAATTGATACAGGTGCAAATCGATCTTTTATTTCAATCAAAGCATTAGATCCATCCTATGGTAAGCAATTTATTAATAAATCACATAGTCGTATAATTTTAGCTGATGGTTATACACCTCTTTTTGTTTTTGGTACAATGAATTTATTTATTATGATGGATGATATGTCAATTTCTATTAAGGTATTAGTCATTAAAGAATTATGTGCCAATTGTATATTAGGTATGGATTTCATTCATAAATATAAATTAATTATTAATACAGAAGAACAAATAGTTTCCATTAGTGATAATTATAAACGTATCACATTAAAATTTGATATTAACAAAGGTGATATAAGATATCCTGGACGTCTAATTAATAATGTTCGGATTCCACCAAAGCGAACAGTAACAGTTCCTGTATCTGTAGAATTATCATCAGCTAAAGTATCATTTCGTCCATGCTTTAAATTACAACAACGATTACCTATATTTATGTTAAATTCTTCATTAACTATTCATCATCATACTTCATCTATTTCATTTCATAATCCAACAACGTACTCATGTTTATTACCAAAAGGAATTATTTTGGGAACAACAACTATTCCTACATTATTCTTTAAAAGAAACTCAATTATTGATCATCGATCAGTAAATAACAACATTACTAATTTAACTCGACATATTGATAATTCTGAACGACAAGATAGAGTTGAAACTCTTCTTAATTAATTTGTAAAATTATTTGATACTAGTAAATTAACAATTGCTACTAATGTAAAACCTCATGCTATTAAAACACTTGATCATCCGCGACCAGTATCCAAACCATATTATTCTACTCCAAGTAAACAAGAAGAAATGTATAAGATAATACAAGAATTATTGCATTTTGGATGAATTCGTCTATCTGATTCTCCATATACAGCACCAGCATCACTGGTAGTTAAGCACGATGGTACATGGAGAATGGTAGTAGATTATAAAAAATTAAATAATATTACTATTAAGGATAATCATCCATTACCCAATATGGAGCGAGCAATACAATTATTAGGTGGTGGTTATAAATATTTTTCCAAACTTGATATGAAGAGTGGATTTTGTCAAATTCCAATTAAAGAACAAGCCAAATTTAAAACTGCATTTATTACTCCAGATAGTCTTTTCGAATGGAATGTGCTGGCTCAAGGTCTCAAGAATAGCCCACTATCTTTTCAACGAGTAATGACTGATATATTATCTACATGTCGGCAGTTCTCGTTGGTTTATATTGATGATATCGTGGTGTATTCTCATTCATTTGAAGAACATCTCAATCATCTTACACAAGTATTATCTGCTTTATCCAAACATAATTTTCAACTTAACCCGGTTAAATATAGTATTTTTCATCAACAAATCGATTATTTATCTCATACGATATCTGAACATGGTATTAAGTCAACCAATGAAAAAATTCAAGCAATTATCAAATTACGACAACCTATACTAAATTACCTGAAGCAAATAAATTTCTTGGTGCTCTTTCGTGGTATCTTAAATTTATACTCAAATCTGCAACAATTGCTGCACCTATTCATGCTGTAACAAACTTAACAAAAACAAATAGACACAAATTCGAATGGGATGCTTCTCAATCTCAAGTGTTTTCACAATTGAAACAATTATTAATTACTTCTCCATTATTTCTTGATTTTTCAGATGATAATTATTCTGTTATATTAACAATGGATGCATCAGAAATTGGTATTGGTGGTACATTACAACAAAATATTAATGATGAAATAAAAAATTTATATTATCATTCTCAAATTACATCTTCTACTCAACGACGATATGATTCTATTGAATTAAAAGCATTAGCCATATGGTTATGTTTTCGACGAATGCGATCTTATCTACTTGGTAAATCTATTATAATTTATACTGATCATTGTCCTTTATGTAAAATGATGAACTCATTGGTGAAAAATCGATGAGTGGATTGAATTTCTATTTTATTGCACGAATATAATATTGAAAAAATTATTCATATTAAAGGTCAACATAATTGTTTAGCTGATTATTTATCTCGTCATCCAATACAAAATGATGAAGGAATATTTGATGAGGATTATAGCATAAGCATGTTATTTCAGGGGGAACCACTGGAGATGGTGTATGCTCCTGTCAATCATCCTCAAGTTGTTGGTGCTGTTGTTACAGGTTCAAAAATGAAGCAAATAAAACAACAACAAAATGAAAATGGCAAAATTACACCACCCACTGTAAATGATATATCATCATCGTCAAGTGAAGACAAAATTGAACATTCAAATAAATCTCCATCACACTTAATTACGCCTAACAATTTTGATATAGCTCAGATTAAACTTGAACAGTCAAAAGATTCAAATATTCAGAAGAAGATTAAAGAAGTTATACAAGATCTAACAAAACATCCTTATGTAGTTACAGACGGTTTATTATATAAATTGGTATTAATAAATGTTGCTAGTAATAATAATAAGAAGAAAGTAATTTATTTACCTTCAGCCATGATCAATTCTCTCCTGCACTCATACCATAATGATCCTCTTAGTGGTCATTTTGGTATTCAACGAACATATTTAAAAAATTAAAAAATAAATTCTGGTGGTCAAATATGAAACAATCAATTATTCAACATATTCAATCTTGTTTACCTTCTCAATAACATAATATTAGTCGTACAAAGAAACCAGATCGACTTAATCCAATTCGAACTCCAGAGGGACCATTTCAATTAATAGGTATTGATTATTGTGGTCCGTTCAAACCAACACCTCGTGGTAATCAATATGTATTATGTATTACTGATTATTTTACAAGATGGATGAGGACTGCAATAGCTTTACCTGATTGTTCAGCACAAACCACGGCTCAAA